CTTGAAAATGCATAAGTTTTAGACCTATGTAGGTCCATCACAGTGGATTTGACTAACATATGAAAGCGGGAATTATTACAAACGTATTTGTTCCGCAAATTAATTGGGCAATTAGATTATAGCGAAGATGGCTCAGGCGAAGAACACAAAACACTTGCCGATTTTCGATACATTCACTAGACGATAGCCTCATATCGAAAGCAAATAAGAACATTATAGTCGGGCAAGGCCAACCGTTCGATACACTACAGCACTTCAGCTAATACTGTTATGCACTTGTTTTGGTAATAATGCACATTATTTTCCCGCGAAGTCATACTTGGAGGATGCCAAAATACCATTAATGCATTCATTCATTCATTCAATCATTTATACGCCGTGATCAAAATTTAGTAAACTTAATGTAATTTTTAAAAATTTTTTTATTTTCCAGTTTCCGTCATAAAAAACTAGAAATTTCTCTCCATACAAGGGGTTGCTTTTCATGATAAGCCCTGTGTGTGTTGGGGCATAAAAAATGGACCTAAATGGTCCAAATTCCCTACCGTCGAATTTGATGGACCAACTTTTATCATAAAATGCTAAAAATGAATCCTTTTACCAAAGGAACAAAGAAAAAATTTTATAAATTATAATTTTTTCCACTTAACAAACATCTTTTCGTAAGAAGGCGTTATATTGGAAATGATCGTTGCGGTTATTCAAGCAAATGTATTTTGTTAACTATTCATAAGTAATCAGTCAGCTCATGGTGAAGTAATCTTTTTATATCAATAACTATTGGAGATAATATATTACACCTTTTTGACTCCTAGGAAACCAAGAATCTCATATCTTTTTGATGTCGCTCTCTATATATAATATATGTATATATATATATATGAATACGATCAAAAGTAGAAGGTATGAAAATAACAATGGATTTGAAAAATCGAGAAAACAACAACAATACGTCCGGTGCCTTTAAGAAGGAAAATTTTGAAAATCGAATGCTGACTGTGTCCAGATTTCATAACTCGACAACGTGAATTTTCAGATTCATATGTTTTTTATGAGCCAAATAAACAAGGAGAACACATTAAACACTAACCTTACAGCTGCCCTGCATATTAATTAGTACGTCGAGAAAGGCGATAACTTGGCTAATAAGACTATCATCTTTTTTTAATTTTCATAACAATAACACAATAACAACGAAAAGAAAATATAAACTCATCGACGAACAGTAATTTAACTACAAATGTGTACGTGTTTATAAATTTTACACTTTAAATATGACCAAACGGAAGCTAACATATATACATATATAATTTTTATTTTTTTTTAAATATTAAAGCACTACGCAAAATACGAAGATCGATCAGAAACTAATCGGCTGTTTTATGCTCTATTTCTTTTTCTCAATCATAATATAGTATAGAATTGGAAATTCGATAGATTTACAATGTAAAAAACCAAAGAACTCACTACAAATCAAAACAAGCAATATAAATATAAAACGAAATTTATAAACGAAAAGGAGTCTTGAATTTTTTTTTTTTTTTTTTGGTTGTTGAACAGAGATGGACTAAGCCAATAGATTTGTGGCTTATATGTCCTTATTAAAAACTCTACCGCACTTGAGATTTGAACCCACGACCATTGAGTTGAAAGTCGACGTTCTTACCTACTCGGCCACTCAGGCGGATAAGGAGTCTTGAATTGTTCGTGTTAGAAATTTGAAAAATTTATATATATTTTTATTATTAATAGAACACTTCTTTATTTATATGCATTTTGATTATTAATAGAACACTTCTTTGCTACACAGCGGAAGACCGTATGTTCGTAAAGAAATTAATTTACGATATTTAAAATTACAATTTTATCAAATTTTAGAAACATCGGCAACAAAGACACTTTTAACAAAAAGTCGAATATATTGCATTCTTATGAAAGCACTTCTACTTGCCCTGGTATCCATATGCGTAAAAATATGCAAGAAAAACATATAAAAGAATGTTTGGAAGAACAAAGAGTATACTGCTGGTTTTTACAACTCTGTCTTATATGCGCACGTAAGTCAACGTATCAATAGTGTTCCAAAAAAAAAGAAGGAAAACAAGAAAGTACTGAATGCATAAGAACATTATATTTGTATGTAGCCTAAGTATACATAAAGAAACGATGAGAAGAGCACACACAATAACTAATTTTGTAACCCTTTTAGGGATCAAGGTGACGATAACAATGCCAGAACAATGCTGTAGTATTAAATTTTTAAAACTGTTCTCTTTTTGATTTTATTCTCTTGATTACTCTTCACAATGAGAGTGAAAAGAAAATTAGAAACCAAGAATATAGAAAAAACCAGTAGGAAGTTATATTCGGCGGGGGCCGAATTTCGCATACCTACCACTATGCTTTTCGCATTCTACTCTCCAAGTAAGGCAACAGATACGCTTGAACATTGTAAGAAAAGAATACCTATTTCGAACTTAATACTGGAAAAAATACTTATTTCGAACTTATTGCTGGACAAGAATACTTATTTCGAACTTAATACTGGAAAAGAAAGCTTATTTGGAACTTATTATTATTATTATTATTATTTTAATTTTAGACTAATGAATTGAATTCTTAGACTAAAAAAAGAGACATTGAGCACTAGCAACACAGTATTTGGAACTTAATACTGGAATACTTATTATTATTATTATTATTATTAATTTCGCCACAGAAATAAATTCTAAGACTAAACTCTTAAAAGCACTAGCATCTAAGGCTATCGGCTTGGAATACTTAATATGCTGATATTATTAAGAAAAAATTAATTCACCAGATCGCGGCGTCTGTCATATTCATTTTAGAATCAATCTATTTTCAAGCAGGTAATTTATCTTTATTTGACGAATGTACAAAATAATTTTAAACGTGCTGTCTTATTTGTCTCATGATAAATAAGCATAGAACGCAAAAAAGTGAAAAAAAGATAATTTAATCGCTTGTAACTTTGGCATGCCCGATTTTATTCATTCTTACACGTAAAGAGTGGAGCGTGTCGCAAAGTAAATATGGAAAATTCGAGCCTTCTATCTATTATAACTTCTGAGCAAAAGCCTACAAATTTTTGTAAAGAAAAACGAAGTAGGTTACTTCATTTTTGCGTCCACGAGAGTGCGAACAACGAACACCACATAGATACATAGACATGGCTAAACCAATTCAGAATTCCACGTTGACTAAGAATGTGTACATTTTATAAGATCTCTAAAGCTTCCTTTTGGGTGCTACATACATTATGACAAAAGAAACAAAATGAGTATACCCTCATCTTACAGTGGTGGATATAAAAAGAAGCATTCGACTTAGACATCGCCAAATACAGAAATAAAAATACTGAAGAAGAAACGTATGGAAAAAATGAATCAAATTCCATTCGCATTTCCCTTTTGTTTGTTTTTTGCGCTCCAATTTACCTTTTACGGCAAGATTTGGAAAAAAATTAGAAACTAAGAAAGCAGAATAAAATAAAATATGCGACTTAAAACAAGGCAAAGTACAGAAGTAAAAGTATTCAAGAGAAAAAAAATTTGAAGAAATGAATCAATTTCCATTCATCTTGTTTTTAAAAAGTGGAAGGGATTATTATTTAAATTTGAATAAATTTATCTACTTATGAAAGAAGAATTTAATGCATGTCCTTTTTCTTGTTATATCTCTTTTATTGTCATGCTTCAAAAAAGAAGTATGCACGTGGATTCGATATATATTACTTAGGAGAAAACGAAAATAAGAGGCAATATCAATGAGAATGAAGAATAACGTAAAATTTGCTTGCATGCACATGTGTTGACTAAACAAAAAATCCCCCTGAATACATATAGTCATACACACCATAATTTGTTATCAACAACAAAAGAAGTGGACGAAATATTAGTAAGTTAACAAAAACCATTTCTACATTAGATTTAATGTGATAACTTATAGACACAAGTGTTACGAACGCATATTATAAATAAATGAAAAAATATTATCTTTGGATACCAAATAGGGTCTATAATAATTAATGCTACTTTTATTTAAAAAAAAAGACGAAGTAATTTGCACTACGGTTTGCTTACATTTCATTTCAAATGGAACGTTTATTCTATTTTTTTAGAAGCCAATAGATTTGTGGCTTATATGTCCGAACGTTTATTATATTATCAAAACGTTCGCAACACTAAGAAGAAAACTTCAAAGGCTGAATAGAGGATATATATTCTTTAACAGTATGTAAAAATGTATGGATCGATCTGACTTTTTTACGTCCGAAAATAAAGTATTGATTTTAAATTATCTAAATATATGGGCATGCAAGTTGGTACTGAACTGTCCGTGAGACACAATACAACACATATTGATAAAACCTTTGCTTTCAATAGCAAAGAAATTGTGTTTTTTATTCATTACTCACAAGCCACGCGGATACAACGAAACAAAATTTTATAGGTGTCTAGTGATCCTGTAATATTTATTCGAAAACGAAAGGCTCTGTTACGCCCACTCTACATCACAGAGAATCGCAAATCGCATTGTTCATTTACTTATTTTAAAAGATTCGTTTGAAGCCGAACATAATTTACAAAGCCTATCATTAAAAAGATTTCCTCCCGGAACGCGTAATAAATGCTTTAATAGTAACTGAAATTAAAGAGAATTGATAACGTAACTTTTTTCTCGATTACGTTTTCTCCCACGCTGCCATATTGCAGCACCTGCATCGTTGAAAATTTCTTCTCTACCCTATCACATTACATCATATTGTCATTGCATTCACTTTATTGCAAAGCAAAGCCTATGCTTTTGTTTCTTTCTAATCATATAGTTGCCATAATATAGAAAAATCATTTGAACTCGACAAGAATGCGTACATTTTCAGCGCTACTCGAGTGTAATAAACTGATTTGTTGTTCAGTTTTTGGAAGGTGCGGCGAAGGAAAGGAAAGGAATTGCAATAAAGAAGTTTGGTTGATTTATTATAATCCTAAGTTTTATGGAAGAATTGAAATCTTATATTATTAAGGCATAGAGTTCCTGTTTGGTTGATTTTTATGAAAGTGCGATTTAATTTATTGTTTATGAAAAAATGGGCTCCAATGAGAATTCAATGGAAGCGAATGAGGTCAATTCGGACAACGAGTTTTTAGATGATAAAGACGATTCTGCGTTGGAAGCTGGTATAGCAATATCTCGTGGATATCGAACTGAAAAAGAAGATAATAAGTATGAAGTATTAACTATAGAAGAGCTTGGGCGACATCAGCGTGAAATCATTGATGAAGTTAACAACATATTAAAATTATCGCCAACGATAGTACGCATCCTATTGAACTATTTTAAATGGGATAAAGAGAAACTTTTAGAAAAATATTTTGAGGACAATATTGAAGAGTTTTTCAGATGTATTAATATGACAAATCTATTCATTAAACTTTCGAGTAACAAACAACAAAATGTTCTTAAAGATAATTCTGCTGAAGAGTGTAAGATTTGCTTTTCAAATTTGCCTTCCGATTTAATGATGGCACTGGAATGCGGCCATAGCTTTTGTTTGATGTGCTGGCGTGAATATGTAAGAACAAAAATAGTCGATGGAGGGTTGGATCCATTAATTGTATGCGCCGCTCATTATTGTGGCGTATTAATGGACGATATTACAGTTATCGAGCTATTGGACGATCAGGATGTTCGTTTGAGGTATTGGCAATTTATTACTAATAAGTTTGTCCAATGCAATGAATTGATACGTTGGTGTCCATCTCCTAATTGCACTTACGCCGTTAAAGTCATCTACGGAGAGACCCGCTTTGTCCGTTGCAAGTGCGGTCATGAGTTTTGCTTTATGTGCAATAATGATTGCCATGATCCCGTCAAATGCCATTGGTTAAAGAAATGGCTTGAGTGGAATTATGAAGATTCACAGAATCGTTATTGGTTGGCGAACAATACTAAGCCGTGCCCTAAGTGTAAAGTACAAATTGAAAAGAATGGCGGTTGTAATGTCATGAACTGCAGAAATTGCTCACAACAATTCTGTTGGGTATGTATGAACGATCATGGCCATGCAAGTTGCAATCGTTACATCGAAGGACCTGAAGTACCAGATAGGTCGGCTTCATCGTTGACAAGATATTTGCATTATCATAATCGATATGTGAATCATATGCGGTCATTGAAATATGAAAATAATTTATACCTTACCATCAAAGAACAACTGAGAGAATTTCGCCAAGAGGATGTATCGTACGTCGACATAGAATTTCTGAAACACGCTGTAACAGTATTATGTCATTGCCGTCGAACTCTTATGTACACTTATGTGTTTGCCTACTATTTAAGAAATAACAATCAATCGATGATTTTTGAGAATAATCAGACTGATTTAGAAATTGCAACGGAGAGCTTGTCCGATTATTTGGAACGTCGCGTTATATTAGAAACTCTAACTAAAGTTAAATCAGACGTTCTGGATAAATGTAGATATTGCGAGACACGATGCGAACTTCTATTGCATCACGTACATGAAGGCTATGAAAATGATACTTGGGAATATATAGAATAATGAGTGCAACGAATTAGAAATATGAAAAGAAAACTTGTTAATTTAAGTCATCCAAAAATTGAATAATACTTTCTGTGTCTGTGGCGTTAAACTATGTAAGTAACTATAATAAATTGAAATTGCCTTACTTTAGAAAAGGAGAAGACTGCAAATCAAAATATATATATTTATTAATAGGCCAATCTCCGCATAAACAAATCTGAATATTTAAAGAGCTTTCGATGGATTTGCTAGACCAAGGCTCTAACAAAGTCAAACTCTCTACTATCCCCGTTAACTTCGCAAGTAAAAAATCAGTTTAATATTTTTCTACTGAAAATATTCGTACATAACACGACATACGACCGACATCATCCGCTATTTTTTTCTGTACTTTTCTATCTCGGCGGAGCTTTCTACAAATATCCAATTTTTCTTAATACTTTCGTCATTTAAACAATGTTAACTATTAAAGATGCAACGATGTAGAAACTTCCATGTGAAAAGCATTGACGATTTGAGACTTTAGCAAAATGTAACGCTAACTTTTTGCGCTATGAATTCAGAATTCTCCAATAAAGGCTAAAGCACTTTTATATATAATCTGATATAATCAATTCCCGTGTAATCATGAAAAATTTAATGGACGCTTCCTTATGCTCATAGCAGTTAATATTTCTCTTTATAAATCGATTCGATTATTTTTCTGCATATCTGCTCATGCTTAAAAAAAACATCGGAATGTAGTCTTGAGATTCGTTACAATAAATAGACTAGACGGATTTCAACGACTAATCTCTATGAATTCCATTTGGTTTCTCTGCTGTTATGCTGCTAAATTAACGCTCTATACCACTCCGACCAGTAACGGACGTAAGCTTCACATTCACTGGAAATAAAGTAAGTGGTTTAATTTGAAAGGAAAACTTTATTTCGTTGCATTGTCGTTTAATGATAAGTGATTTCATAAGCCTGTTAAGTAGCGTGTGAATAAACGCAGTCGGTACTAAATAAAAAGCGGAAGTGTTAGCCAATGTCAAACATGCTTTATGAATTATCCGTGTACAGCATTGAGCCATTGAGAATACCGCTTACATTAAATGGTCCAAATTTCCTACCGTCGAAATTGATGGACCAACTTTTATCATAAAATGTTAAAAATGAAGCCTTTTACCAAAGGACCAAAGAAAAAATTGTTCACATATGTACTTTCTTTCAGCTTATGTTCATTGGTAGCGATTTCTTTTAAAAATAATTAATTCTAAGCAATTATTTTATTATAAAAGAGCTGTGTCTCAACTTAACATACCGAATATGTATAGAATATTTATAGTTATAAGTACTCTTAATGAAATTCGGATTCGGAAAAAATGTAGTTTCTTTGGACTTTTAATGTATGTTACTTATAAAATTATTTTTTTGAAGTGTAAGGAATTTAGATTCATTCCATTTCGTGTTGCAATTGTTAACTAAAATAATTGAACTTGAGTTCCTATTAAATTTTACTTGAATTTTGCAATAATTTAAGTATTTACCTAGAAGGAGCCTTTAATTTCTTTTACGTGATTAATTATTGAATTTGTAATATAATTAGTCATTTAATTAATGGGAGTACTAAGAATGTATATTTAGAAAATAAAGAAACTTTTTTTTTAGCAGATAGAACACTGAGGAGATAATCTCTTGTTTTGTATTGGGATAATACGATAGAGTGTGAAGAAAAATTTCATTATCAAAAAAAAGTCTCTTGAAATTTCCAGCGCTCCCAAAAGTCCTAATTTCTTACTTTTGGCTTGCTAGAGTATTCCAAAGTATTTACACACAAAAATATGTGCAGCTTTATAGAGACGACCGCTACATATGAATATAAGGCGGAGAACTATTTGAAAGGAGTCAATTCCTCTGCTAAGATTTTGAAAGTTTGTGATCGATGAATCTATTTGTGTTGACTTTAAATTTTACCACGGATTTCCTTGCCATTTGCGCTGTCATATCGCAATACGTGACGGGTAAGACGTGCGACTCTGTCTATATTAACGTCTACCACAAAATCTCAGAGTTAAAAAAAGGTGGAGCATACGTTTCCACGGTTATTTTATGGCCCTGAGATTGCAGAGTAGCGGTAAAAATGAGAAGAATTTATTATTTAAAAAAAACGCTTGTATAAAACGCTTCAAAGCACTTGCATAATTTTCTTGAAAGACTATTTTGCAAAACAGTCTGTAAAATCAACATGAACGCCATATAGATAAATTATATATAAAAACTGACAACATCTTTCTTTAGTGATAGTGGAATAATGCTGTAGCAAAATTCATTTAAAATTTACAAAATATTTTGAGAAATAAACGTCCTAACATTTTCGATGAGTTAAATATTTCCACCAATATACTGAGGTCCCTGGATGCTTCCGATACCAATCTAGAAATTTTAGGCAGTCTCTGGCATTCACAAAGTGTACGTTATACAGTAAGATTTTCTCCATAATTGCAAATTAGTGCAGACATTTCTTACTTTTTTCACTTTTGATATGCTCTTAACAACAAACGCATACTGAGAAAAGTAAACAAAACACACTGAAAGATTCTTTTATTTTTTAAAAATTTCAGTCTGAATTAATAATTGAGAGAAAGAAAAAAATGAGTTATTTTGTTTATTATAATTTTAAATCATTTTAAATTTTGATTAGTTACGAGCTTTTCTGTATCTGTATAAGGAGTTTAATTTTTGTCTTTCGTTTGATATACAATTAAACAATAGGTAAAGTGATTTTTCCAGCATTTATGTTTATAACCGTGCTGTTAAAAATCATGATTAAAAAACATGCCTATGGGAAGTCCGAGACGTATTTTTTTTAAATATGTTTCCATTTTGGCTCAGCAGTTTATTTATATTGTAATTGTGGGAAATTTGATTTATTTTCAATTTCCATATAATTATACTAATAGAATTATGGCAGTTGTATCTGAAATAACGAGTTAACTAATACGTATTTGGGAAAACTGGACATAAATGAATCAACTGTTTGCAAATACATGATATTAACGCTCAAAATTAATTGTAAGCTAAAATGCTTTTCTTGAAATTTAGAAAACTTCCTGATAATAAATAAAGCACAAAATTTTGCCTACTTTTTAGTATTTGCCTGTATAAAGAATTCCATACTTTTTACCATTTCACAAATAAGAAGAATGTGATAAGATTGTGGAAAAAGAAAAACTTCTTTCCAATCACTTTTCTTTTTATAAAGTGTCATATATCAAAGAGTAAGTATTAAAACAAAAAATGTCTTCTATTTGAGTGTTCAGCAGGTTAACGGTTAATACGTCACCGGCTGCGTTGTAATAGAAAAGGCTCAGAAGCACTTTTTCTAAACCCCAAAAAAAAGTAAGAAACATACAAGTTGACAAAACTATTTTGTCTTCTTCTTTTTTTAAAGTATTTATTGAGTAAACGATAGACGACTCGAAGAGTTGTGATAGAAAACGTTTGGTGTGGATATGAAGTAGTTCTAGTTATTGGTTACTATTTCATTCATTTTATATTCGTGTGTAAGCAAAAACAATAATTAATAATAACTTCTGAGAAATTTTAAAAGAAATTTTTGCTGAAAAACTTTGATAGAGAATTTGTTTATGTTTCTGACAAAAAACCAATTATTTTTTTTATTTTGTCGTTCTTCAAAACACTTTAGATGGATAGTTTGATTTTTGGGAATGGACTAAATGGGAAGAGGATTGAAAGCCTTGTTTTTCTTAAAAAATTCGTTTTTGCCAATCTATTTCAAGCAATTCTTGTATTCGTAAACTGTTTTACTGCTAATGATAACGAAAAGTAAAGTTTACAAAACCACATTCACAAGGCAGATAAGAAAAAAACAGAAATCAACACAGTAGGGGCATTTGCCAGAGACGCCAACTTAATTTTTACGTTAGAGAGAGATTTCAACTTAATTTGTATGGAACGCTTTTTAAGCTTGGTGCATTTCACGAGATTCCAACTTCATTTGATACATTTAATTATAAACTATTCAAAACTATTCAAACTATGAACATGTGATTAATTTCGTATTCTTTTTGAAAGCAACTCTGTTCTCTCTGTATTCTCAACACATGGTACTTTTTTGTAAACCTTGTGAAGGAAGACAAGCTTCACTACATCTTATAATTAACATGTTAATGTGAATTATTAATCGCTACTGAATTTTAAGTTAGTGTACGTACGAAATTGGAATGCATTTCTCTTTCTTTTGGTTTAGCGATGGTGCAACAATTGGGATGAAAAATCCAAAAATGGAAATTTAAATTCCTTAGTGATGAAAAAAACTTTCGCTGTGTTAGTAGTACATATTATCTTTTTAAAAAAGCGGTGGAAAATTTATAAATTAAACAATCAAGCAATAAATTTATTTTAAAATTTAATGCAGTTATCCAAGTACTTTCTATTGTTATTATCTGGAATAGGCTTGAGTTTCTTCTTTCGATTTTCTTACAGAACATCGATAGTCTTAAGACCATTAGCAGTTAAAAAATCGATGATAAAAATGAGATATTGATAAAAAATCGATGAAAAAAATGAAAAATTGATAAAAAAAGAATGAAAGAATTGAAAAGAAATCGATGAGGGGCACGAGAAATTGTTAAAAAATCATTCATTTGATATATTATACAAATTTTTCACTGATTTTTTATCAATTTTTCATTTTTTTCATCGATTTTTTATCAATTTCTCATTTTTTTATTAGTTTGATAGCCATAATGTATAAGCATCACTTTGACGTATGATATCACATCACTGAAACATACAAAGTTAAAAGACGAAATTTGTGTCAAAATTTGTGAAAGCCTTTACCAATTCATGTACGAGAGGACAATTCAAGGACTTTCGAACACCTTAGGAGTTGATGAATCAATTGTTTCTACACGTTTGGAGGGAAAGTGGCTACCATATGAGCTGATTGAAAATGTTATGTCGAAACGTTTGGACATTGCAGTTTTTAGATGAAAAAGAAGTGACTTCTGTGGCGTATTACGACTGATGGTGAATAAGATTATTAGAAATTAGATACATAGCAACAATCTCAGGTGCAAAAAGTCACAAGCTAGTGCAGAAGGGATATCGATACCGAAGCGGAAAAAAGTCTTGTTGTGCATATGGCGGGATTGCTACCTTGTAGTGTATTGCTTGCTGTTAAAATCGAATGAAACTGTTATTGTATGCGTCTACCGACATCAACTCTATAAATTGAATGTATTGTTGCAGAAAAGACCAGCAGTAGTGCTTAACCGACGAAAAATTAAATTTTATTTTTGATTTTATCTCTCCGGAAAGAAAAGATAGCAAACACAGAAAAAACGATAAACCATCGACGGCGTACCACAACCACTGCTAATGACGATCAAATAGAGACTCCAATCGATTTGGACTAGTAATATACGGCAACTTCAACATTAAACCATCAATCATTTCGAAACAGTCACATTTAAAATCGACAAGAATATGTTGCAAATATATATCGCAAACTGGTGACAGCTAGGTAATGATCCTTAGGAATGACGTATAAATCGCAATACATTTTCATCACGTGCTGCCTTCTTTACTTCTTGAATAAATGAATGAAAATTTGACTCGCTCTCATGCAGGTGAGATTACAACAAGTAAAAGTTCCGCTAAAGTAATTTTGACAAGAAAAAATTGGAAAATTGACAAATTTTCTTCGAATGCTTGCTTCATTTAATAAGACAAAGCGATTAAAATGAAAAAATTAAAAAATACAGTAATGCACACTCAAAAGGAGCCAACAAATATGGGCAGCTCCTATGGAAATATTTTAAACAATGTAAAAATGTCGTAAAGTTTTCCCGACAATTTTCCAAATTGCACTAATAAATGCGTGCATCAAAATCCATTGAATTTTGTTTTATTTGTAACAAGCCAGTATATTTTATTTTACTTTACAATAAGTCTTACCTTCCATGGAAACTTTCGATTGCGTATTAAAATCTCTTCAGCACTGCTATTACGTTTATTTCGTCCATTTGCTATATTCGCTGATATTGTATCGATTTTAAAAGGACCGCTGCGTAACTGTACGTAATCGATTGGGTGAATATTTTTCCTATTTGTTGCATTCGTACAGTTGCCATTACACTCCGTTTCTTCTTCATAAAGCGAGCAATCGTCATCACAACTGCTCAGACTGCAACAGCAGCAATTAGCATTTTCTTCATTTTCTTCGTAGTCACTATGCTGCCGATGGTGATTGTTTACAAAATACGAACTATTCCAGAATACGCCATTAGCGGCATTACAACATGTTGTTTCGAAGTTGATTGGTGGACATACTGCTGTTATTGTCGGCTGCAATCGTTCCTGCTTTTGTTCTTGATTGCAGGTTACACAACTAATCTCACTCATGACATCGGTAGCAAAGTTTGTAGAAGATATTGGGGAGCAACTAGAATTTCTGTTATTTTCACTTAATGAAGAAACTGAACGTTTGCTGTATGTACAGAAGCATGCGCTTCGCGAATTGCAAAT